ACACACACACACTCAACACAAACAAAGAACACAAATTAAGATAATTTATCCAAATAAATTCTTAATAAAAAGACATATTAATCATCATAATATATCATCATCCCACACAAGACAAACCAGACATCCCTCCACCTTTGACCTTTGACCTCTGGCCTCTCACCTTTCTCTCGTGCACCACCAGTGACGTAGCCCTGAGGCTATCCCTGGACCTGGCGCTAAGAGGGTCTGAGGATCCCATCTGAGAGCGCACCCCCAGATTTCATGACGATGTTAATAATACCACTCACACACAGACACACACATACACACACACACACAAGCATACACACACACACATACACACACACACACAAAGACACACACACACACACACACACACACACACTCACAAAAAAGCACAAAATAACATAATTTATCAAAATTTACTCTGACTAATAAGACATAATAATAATAATAATATTATTATTACATCATCATCCCACACAAAACAAACCAGACCGCCCTCCTCCACCTTTGACCTTTGTCCTTTGAACTCTCACCTTTCTCTCGTGCACGACCGGTGACGTAGCCCTGAGGCTATCCCTGGACCTGGCGCTAAGAGGGTCTGAGGAGCCCATCTGAGAGCGCGCCCCCAGACCCCCACAGCGGCTATCTGTGTTTGCGGACGCCAGACTAAAACAGCTGCTGTTGAGGCTCACTGCGTCCTGGCGGATGATCCTGGGGGGTGGGGGGGGGTTGGATGATAGGGAAGGGACATTATAGGATTAGAGAGATGGTGATGAGGTGAGGTGAGAGGTGAGAGACAGTTGCAGTACTATAGGGCACGTTTATATTTCTTGACCCCTCTTCTAACTTCTAACTTCTCTATCCTCCCTGCCCTTCTTCTTCCAAGTGAAAATTAAGTCGCCAACCACTGTCCAAGTTTTTTTTTGTTTTTCTGTATGTCGGGTATAGGCTGTTCTTAAAGTCCTCAATATGATTTTGATTTTAATCTTAGTATCAGTTTCACTGAGGGTTCGGTGGCGGAGCGGTTAGTGCGCTTGTCTCCTCCCCACCCAGCAGTAATGGGTACCTGACTTCGAGTTGGGGAAGTAAAGGCGGCGTGGAAAGGAACTGGCCATCCTACCACAATATGCCGAAGGTCCAGAAAGTTGTCTCACTAACAAGGCAATCCCCAATGTCCGGATCGGATGGGGGAACAACTTTTTACCAGTTTTACTGCACTGACAAACCGATTAAGAAAAAAGGCCCAAGATTGGAGATGTTACTGGGGAGAAACAAGCAAAGAAAAGGAGGTCAGAGATAAGGATGATAGATGTTTGATAGACAAAAAGAAGCAAACCACACCAGAACATACGCCAACCATCCACAGTAAGGTTTTGTTAGATAGAAGTAATATAAGGAGACCGAAGCAAACACATTTATAGAAACCATAGTGTGAAGAGAAGACTAGTAGCTCCGTTTCACCCAGGATACACCAACACTATAACCAGCTTTGCACAGCTAGGTGCAGCATCGTCATAAGCTGGGATTAAGATTTCCTTGCTCAAGGACGCACCGTAGCAACCTTTCGTTACTCAATACAGCTTGAAATTCCCATTAAAAAGTTCAACAGCCCGTTCTTGCTTCACCTTTCCTCATCCCACCCCCACACCAACACACACACA